CCCGTTTTAAAGATAGCCGTTGTTATACCGAATGAATTTATCGAGCCGTCCACGGTGGCCTATGAAATCAGTGACAAAAAAGATTTCCTACATCCCAGTTTCCTCGATCGGTACCAACTAAAAAGGCGTAGTTTATAATTTTTGCTCTTTTTTGCAGGGTTCGTGAACTGAACTTCGAGGGGAGATGTTAATGTTATGGTGGTAAGCTACATGTGCAGGAAAAAACTGATTCATTTCATTTTGGAGGCGGGGAAAATCCGCCGAGTTCGCTTCGCCAAAATACACTTTGTTATCAAGCCAGGTCAGTTCAAAAACGACAAGCCTCTGTACTTGTCTTTGTTTTGGCGAATTTCTAGAAAATTCTTATGAGGGAATTGCTTATCAATATTATTCAGTAAGAACTGTGTTGAAAGTTCCTTATGCTTGCAACAGACAGGCGTAACTGATACTGTCCGATATTTGTACGGAAGAATGTATTAATTACATGCCAAGGTTTATTTCAAACTACCGAATTTGAGACTTAATTATTTTAAGCGCGCTTTTCATTTCGAGTGCTGATAAATTTTGCCTCAACTCGTTCGATACGGGTTTTATAGCATTTACAGACGTCAATTTCAGCCCTGCACATTCGTTGTGAACAAAATTAAATCTCTCGACTCAATAAACGTAAGTGTCGCATAATCTTAATCTCAGTCTCTTTTCTTGTTTTTTACTTAGCCTTCTTACTAATATCCCTGTATTTCATGGTAATGTTCATGTACAAATAATTGATTTTTGTTGCTCTTCACATTTTCAACATTTTGTAAGACGTCATGATGAGTCTTTGAAAAGGATGATAATACATGTCAGCAAGTTTCCATGGAAACTCTGTCGTATGACTTGATACGCCCCCTTACGTTTTTCATCGGTCGTTCAAACCCTTGGCACTCCGGATGTCCTGTTTGTAGAGTTGAGCACTAAAGGAATTTAATCTCTCCACCGCCACCGGCAACTCCACCAAGAAAAGGACTTCGACGGAGCAGAAAATGGCGTTTTTAAAAAAACGTGTTTCTCCAGAGCCACTATGCCCTTCCACTACGGAGGGTGAAACTGAGTTATCGGACTCGTTGCCTCTCGACCAGAAAAGCACAGACAACTTTAATCATGATGAGGACAAGGGGACCACTATCGATTATCGTAGCGCTAAGGAATTTCAAGAGGGACTTGATGGCATTCCCGAAGAGGAGGCGCAAAACGAACCCAGTGGTGTGAATCAAAATGGGAAATTAAGCGCTAGAAGCCATTCTTCAAAACGCAACTCGTGGTCCAACCCTGAGGGATTTAACTCGTCTGGACGACATCATGTTTGTGATCGAGTGATTTTGTTGGCTGTGTGTTTCATTTCCGCAGCGTCACTTTTGCTTACCGTGTTGATGCTATTTGGCATAGTTGCACCTCTGAATTGCGCCTGCTCTGGAGAAACAGGTATTTCCAATTATCTCCTGTGCATAACTTTATTCCAAAAAGATAGCTATAGATTAAATTTACTAAACGAAATTTTCCAACTTCTTTTTGCCGAGAAGCCTTAAATTATGCCAATGCATGTGTTTTCAAATTTATTTCAAATTTCCTTTTGAACATTTCGACTGCTGCCATTTCGTGTATCTACGCAGGGATGTTGAAGTGAGTGAAAAAAAAATCCTCGCATTGTCTTTGTTACTCATGTTGTTAAAGGATAAATGTATTAGTCGAAAATCTAATGCTTTAAAAATTGCTCTAAAAGGTGTTGAATCCTATTGTTGTTTCGAAATCAAACTTATTAAGGATAACGTCATTTCGCTTATTTACTCACGATAGCGAAAGACTATGGTTTGTTTAACCCGTCGCAGAGTGGTCCACAATGTTTACATTAAACTACTCCGATTTCTCAGGCCCCCAACGCAGATGTGTTTGTCATCTGATGGGCCTAGAAACTCATGATCAAATAATTGACAACCTTGGAGGGCAATCGGTACGGATTATCTTTGTTTTTAAATTTCGACCCGACACCTATTTTTGGACAGTAGCAACAAAATCACCGGTCCATAATGAAATAGTTGCAAAGCACTTGCTATTTACTGCTTGACGATTATTACATTCAAGACGTGGACCGAAGGCTTCGTCTATAAACAATCAGAAACGTTCGCGCGAACTTTATTGACTTATCCAAGTCACGATCATTAAAGAATTTACATGGAACCTTACACAAGCGTTATATATTTTCTTTAGCAAATGAAAATAAAATAGCATTTTAATAACTTCCAAGGTAAAGAATTGGTCATCCCATTTTTGTTGTAACTACTAAACAAAGGAAGCAAAAATTTCAGATTTCGATCATTTTGGGCCGGGTTTGTTTGCTAGCTATTCAACTCAAATCACTTCATTCCCAACCGACACTGACCTGATGCGTTACTTGAATGCACTTTTTTGGAATTGAGTCTATAACATCTGATAAAATTGTTATTTAAGGACTTAAAGTTTTCAGCAAAGGTTATCAACGGTAAATAACGCTATGTTTACTTGACGAATGAAACTTTCAGTCTTCAGTGTTCTGCTCGTGAGTAAACAAACAGTGTTAATTGCATTCTTTAGATTCTTCGAGTACCACGACAATGCATGACTCTTTTTTTCGGTCTTCGAAAACAATGTTCCTCTGGAAAATTGCACTCCTTTTAAGATGAAACGAAATTTTACGTTACTGTGTGTAATTTAGTTAATCAGTCGTACATATTGTTGTCACCGAGACGACGTTTATTGAGTATTTAATTAAGTACTTGGACTGAGCAAGTCTGGGGATCAGTCAGTAGCAATGGGCCAAAAAACTGAAAGTTGCTGGTTGCGACTAGGTAAAAAGTCAAAGTTTACGGTAAATAAGGTCATAGAGAATTGAAAAAGTATTAGTACTGCTTTATTACGGCGGCAAGCTTCTTAACTAATGATTCCGGCAGTTTGCGTGCAAACGGGCCGCTAATACTGTTTACATTGGTTCATAGAATTATTAATTTTCCCGAATTTAATTATAGTTTTGCTGAGTCTAAATGGCATTTTTTTCCTAGCCAAAGGGCAAGAATCATATAGC